CTACACTTAAAGGGGGTTCCTTGCAACTGCTTATATTGGCAAGTAGGTGCACAAACTTGGAGACAGTCATTTATGGGCTCCAGAACCAGGTGAGCAACTTCTATTTTTTTCTTACAGTTGTGAACCAATAATAATTTTTTACCATCTGCACTATCCCTGCCGCTTGCTTATGTCATCCATGTGCATACATCATATCCGAACTTGTGAAGGGGACTAACAAGGAGGTTTCTGTTGCTACCTTAAAGGCACAGCAAGCACATACATTCAGAGCCATAGCGTCTAAAAGACTCTTGATTTGTGAGCATAAATTTTCCTAATTTATATTGTATATACCGGTTATTTATAACAGTATTGTACTATTCCATATTTCTCTTTTTTTTAAATTCTTTATTTTGTTCGTGCAGAGGTTAAACATGTGGATTTGCACTGCCACAACAGCTGGTGCATCCAGGTTTGTATTCACGCTTAATTACATGGCATTATAGAGAAACATTGCACTTTTATTTTTAACAGGTAAGTAAGCAGGCTTATTTCATAGGCTAAATAAAGACAACGGGAATCATTTGCTTGGATCACAGATACAGTTGCAAGAAAAAGTATGTGAACCCTTTGGAATGATTTGGGTTTCTGCACAAATTGGTCATAAAATGTGATCTGATCATCATCTAACTCACAACAATAGACAATCACAGTCTGCTTAAACTAATAACACACAAAGAATGAAATGTTGCTATGTTTTTATTGAACACACCATGTAAACATTCACAGTGCTAGTGTAAAAAGTATGTGAACCCCTAGACTAATGACATCTCCAAGAGTTAATTGGAGTGAGATGTCAGCCAACTGGAGTCCAATCAATGAGATGAGATTGGAGGTGCTGGTTACAGCTGCCCTGCCCTATAAAAAACAAATACACACCAGTTCTGGGTTTGCTTTTCACAAGAAGCATTGCCTGATGTGATTGATGCCTCGCACAAAAGAGCTCTCAGAAGACCTACGATTAAGAATTGTTGACTTGCATAAAGCTGGAAAGGGTTCTCCAAAAGCCTTGCTGTTCATCAGTCCACGGTAAGACAAATTGTCTATAAATGGAGAAAGTTCAGCACTGCTGCTACTCTCCCTAGGAGTGGCCGTCCTGTAAAGATGACTGCAAGAGCAGAGCACAGACTGCTCAATGAGGTGAAGAAGAATCCTAGAGTGTCAGCTAAAGACTTACAAAAGTCACTGGCAAATGCTAACATCCCTGTTAGCGAATCTAAACAATTTCATGGGAGGATACCACAGAGGAAGCCACTACTGTCCAAACAAACATTGCTGCACGTTTACAGTTTGCACAAGAGCACCTGGATGTTTCACAGCAGTACTGGCAAAATATTCTGTGGACAGATGAAACCAAAGTTGAGTTGTTTGGAAGAAACACACAACACTATGTGTGGTGAAAAAAAGGCACAGCACACCAACATCAAAACCTCATCCCAACTGTGAAGTATGGTGGTGGGGGCATCATGGTTTGGGGCTGCTTTGCTGCGTCAGGGCCTGGACGGATTGCTATCATCGAAGGAAAAATGAATTCCCAAGTTTATCAAGACATTTTGCAGGAGAACTTAAGGCCATCTGTCTACCAGTTGAAGCTCAACAGAAGATAGGTGTTGCAACAGGACAATGACCCAAAGCATAGAAGTAAATCAACAACAAAATGGCTTAAACAGAAGAAAATACGCCTTCTGAAGTGGCCCAGTCAGAGTCCTGACCTCAACCCGATTGAGGTGCTGTGGCATGACCTCAAGAAAGTGATTCACACCAGACATATCAAGAATATTGCTGAATTGAAACAGTTCTGTAAAGAGGAATTGTCAAGAATTGCTCCTGACTGTTGTGCACGTCTGGTCTGCAACTACAGGAAACGTTTGGTTTAAGTTATTGCTGCCAAAGGAGGTTCAACCAGTTATTAAATCCAAGGGTTCACATACTTTTTCCACCTGTACTGTGAATGTTTACATGGTGTGTTCAATAAAAACATGGCAACATTTCATTCTTTGTGTGTTATTAGTTTAAGCAGACTGTGCTTGTCTATTGTTGTGACTTAGATGCTGATCAGATCACATTTTATGACCAATTTGTGCAGAAATCCATAACATTCCTAAGGGTTCACATACTCTTTCTTGCAACTGTAGGCTTCACCTAGTAGTCACAATAAGAGTAAAGATCAGTCTAGGACAAGGCATTATGAAACTGAGCTATCCCAGTATCTGACTACACATGGTTATGCAGTTAAAGTAGTTTTAAGTGTGCTACTCTAGGTGAGAGTAAAATAAAATGAAAATTAATAACGAGTAGGAACAGGCTAGTTCCACATGTCTAAGCTGGAAAACACATTTATGTTAACTCAGAGAGGCTAGCTAGACATGGTGGTTAAAGCACAGTAAAATGTTGCTAGTCGTAGTAGTGTTTCAGGAGTAAGGAGACACTAGGGTCAGGGTCACTGTCTTCTTGACCCTCAACACGCAGTCTTGTCTCGTGATTGGAGGGGACAGCTATACTCACACTGGGGATTGCTATGCTCTGCTTACTCCCTTGAGCTTTCAATCACTTAGTTCTTTTAAGAGCTTGTTCCTGATATGCTCTCCTGGAGGAAAGGTCTTTCCCACACGGTCCTGGAGGACAGAAGCTGATCGAGCTTGGTTGCTTCATCTAAGTGCTGCTTCTAAGTGTGTGGTTGGAGATATTCTGGAGAGTTTTACAGAAGCTTCAACTGTCTAAGAGTTTGCTAAGAGTTTTCTTTTCTACTGTTACAGGTAAGATTTATCTGTAGGAAAAGGTTACTGATTGCACAAGGTTTGAATTCCTGTTGGTAATTATAAGGCATTTGATTTGATTAGCTAAATACTTACTATTGATTGCTAGTTAATTAGCTATTGTTTGCAAATAAGCAGAGGCATACCCAGGTGTTAAACATTCCTAGTGTGTGGTGATTTTAAGAGTTATATAAGGGCTGTTGTCATTAGCTTGGCTAATATAGCTTGGTTGTTTCATCTAAGTGCTGCTTCTAAGTGTGAGGTTGGAGATATTGTGGAGATAAACTGGAGGTAATCTGTGGTAATCAGGAGGACTAAAAATTTAAGACTTGTTTGATTTAAATTATTCACCTCATTGGAATGGCAGACTTAGTTCAGTGTAATAGTTGTTATACATTTGTTTCACGTTCCACTTTTTGGAGATTTTGATGCTGTCTAATCTGTAGACAGTTCTCTATATTGCGGCAGGAGATTGTATTTTTGAAGTCTGAGATTTGTAATTTATCTGGTAAACAAACTCAGGCTGGATCTGCTGCAAAGCCACTGCCGCAGAGACACACTAGGAATGGCAGATGGATTACTGTAGGATCTGGTAGACTTAGAGTTGTGGATAGAAGGCATATTGCACAGTCTGTTACTCTACATAATTCATTTTCTGCACTTTCAGAGTGTAATGGTGTTATGGAGACAGGCTCAGGTACTGAGGATAGTGGTGTTATGGAGACAGGCTCAGGCACGGAGGGTAGGGGTGCTCTGGAGACAGGCTCAGGCACTGAGGGTAGGGGTGCTGTGGAGACAGGCTTGGAGACTGTGGTGAGGTATAATAGAAGCAGTTGTTGTTGGGGATTCCATCATAAGAGGTGTGGAGATGGACAATGGTGGTCTTGTGAGGTGTCTTCCCAGAGCTACTGCTCACAGAGACAGGAGACGTATCTGTAATATTGTTAAGCAAGCAAAGCAGGAAGGGGAATTGGATGTACTTGTCCATCTAGGGACATTGACTTGGCTTGCAATGAGGTTTCAGAGGTTAAGGAAATTTTTAGTGTTTTTTGCCAATGATATACGGCAGGTTGCTTCCACACTGTCATTCTCTTAAGTTCTGCCTGTGCACAATGCTCAGAATGACAGGCGGATGCGTATTAGGGACTTTAACTTGTGGCTTGGTGAATGGTGTCGGCAGCAAGGATCTGGCTTTATTTCTCATGGTAGCTCTGTTTGGAATGGAAGTAAACTGTACAAACAAGATGGTTTGCATCTTTCGCAAAAGGAAACAAATGTTCTCAGTGAGCAGTTCAGAGGTTTTGCTAGGATGTATTTAAACTATGGGGGGGGGGGCATAAGGGTGATAAAACATCAATCCAATTGCCCCCCAAAACAAGGACAGAAGGTGCCTTTAGCAAGTGTGTTAAAAAAGGATAAGCTTAGAGTCATGTCTATAAATACTCGCAGTTTAGGGAATAAGATCCATGAACTTGTGGCAATAATGGCAACTGATAATGTAGATTTAGTCGCTGTTACTGAGACATGGTATAATGAGAAAAATGACTGGGACATAGCAATACCAGGGTACTCTTTATATAGAAAAGACAGGGAAGGCAAGAAAGGGGGAGGGGTGGCCCTGTATGTGAAGGATAGCATACAATCTAGCCTAATAAAAGTTAGTGAGGCAAACATAGAGTCAGTTTGGGTTACGTTAGAATTTGGTTATCACACAGTAACTCATGTAGGTGTGATTTATAGGCCCCAGGACAAATTGAAGAGTTAGATAATCAAGCAGTTGAGGAAATAGCTAAAATGACAATGAAGGGGGAAGGTATCATCATGGGTGACGTTAATCTTCCTTATGTGAATTGGAAAACAAAATTAGCTACTTGTGCCAGGAGCACACATATTCTAAACGTCCTACTGGGATTGTCTCTAAAACAAGTTGTTGAGGAGCCAACTCGTAAAGAGGCCATACTAGATTTAGTGTTAACAAATGGAGATTTGGTATCAGATATTACCGTAGGTGAAAGTTTAGGATCCAGTGATCATCAGTCAGTGTGGTTTAATATAAGAACAGTGACTGAGTCACACCACACAAAAACAAAAGTTTTAGACTTTAG